AGCAGTAATATCACTAATAGGTACTGCTTCTGGCCATCGTGTGAAACGGTCTACGCAGGTTAAGAGATATGAGTATCCATTTGAATCTGGTAAGGGTCCTACCAAATCCAGATGAACGTGGTCGAAACGAGCATCGAGGGTTTTGAAAGAGCCTAAGGGACACTTGTTGTGTCTAATGACCTTAGATTTCTGGCAGCTTACACAGGAGCGTGCCCACTCCCTCACGTCTTTATTCATGCCAGGCCAGCAAAACCGTTCTGCTATGAGCTTGATGGATGGACAAACACCTGGATGAGAAAGATTGTGCAACGTATTGAAGACGTTGCGTCGATAATGTTTTGGTACAATTGGACTATCTCTACCTGTATATGTGTCACATAGTAAGGTTTCCTTACCTGTTCCCATCTGTTTAATACACAGTTTCAGAATTTTCGAGAATAACTCGTGCTGAAGATCAGTGTCTTCTTTTTGAAGCTGGATGAGTTTAAGAAGGTCGATCCCTTGGAAACTGTTCAAGGAACTTGTTGGAGACAAGGCGTCTGCAACTACATTGTTTGCTCCAGAAATGTGTTGTATATCTAAAGTAGACTGCGAAATGTAGTCCAGTTGTCGAGACTTTCGATGTGAATACATATCTGAGGATGAGCTCAAAGAGAAGGTAAAAGGATTATGATCGGTAAAAAGTGTAAATTCTCTTCCTTCGATGGAATGTCGGAAACAACGTACAGCACAATACATAGCTGGGAGTTCCCTACCGAAAGTGCTGTATCTAGATTCAGCGTCTGGCAAACGTCTCGAGAAAAATCCTAAAAGTTGCCAGGATTGGTTAATCCATTGTTGTAAGACTCCTCCAATTGCTGAGTTGGATGCGTCTACGGCGATACTGATGGGCGCTTGAGTGTCCTGATGTGAGAGCAGGGTTGCCTTAGCGATGAGTTCCTTGATTGTGGGGAATGCTTTTCGTGCGGTGTCGTCTAGATTAATTGATTTCGCATTTCCACAGAGTTGGTCGATTAATGGTTTCATAAGGGACACGCATTTAGGTAAGAACTGTCTATAGAAACTTACAAGGCCGTTAAAAGTGCGCAACTGTCTAATCGCGGTCGGTTTCGGGAAATCCAGAATGGCCACCACTTTGCTTCGTGGGATGCCTTGAGCATCAATAGTGTGTTTTAGGAAGTCTAAGGGGTTGGTTCCGATTTGGCGTTTCTGAATGTTTACAGTAATGCCATGCCTTTGAAGTCGTTCGAAAACAAGGTCCAGATGCTGAGGATGGAATTGTCTGTCCGGACTAGCTACCAAGCAGTCATCAACATACGCAAGTACGAATTTGGGACCTCCGAATACGTCATTTATGAATCTTGGGAAGGTTTGAGCAGCATTTCATAAGCCGAAAGGCATTCGTAAAAAATTTAGCAGTTTTTGGAGTGTCGTCAGTTGCCATAGGTATTTGGTTGTAAGCTTTAAATAAGTAGATTTTCGAAAAGACGGTTGTACCTTTCAAGGTAGCTGTCAAATCGTGAATGTGAGGCAACGAGTAACGATCGGGAATGATTTTAGCATTCAGACGCCGACAATCACCGGTTGGACGCCAATCATTGCTTTCCTTTTCAGGGACCATATGCAGGGGAGATGACCGTGGGCTATTTGATGGTTGAATTATTCCTAAGTATACCATGGGGTCGAATTCGTTTTTAGCCAACCTAAGCTTTTCGGGAGCCAGTCGGCGTGCTTTTGAGAATACAGGTGGTCCTGTAGTCGAGATATGATGTGTAACATTGCTGTTTACACTAGGTAATTTCGGTTATGGTTGATATATCCCCTAATATTTATCGAGCAATGTTTGATATAAGGGGTCTATGGTGTGCTTAATTGTGACTGCAGATAATCTGCAACCAGAAAAGAGTTACGCAAACAGATAACTTGGTGTTGTTGTCTATCAACCTTCTCTTGCGTGTATCGATGAATAGATTGTGGTATTGTAGCAGGTCTATACCAATGATTGACATAGAGATATCTGCAAAAACGAAGATCTAGTGGATGAGTTTGCGTAAACCCACGTTAAGGTAGACGTACCTTTTGACATATGTGGCGATAGATCTTCCGTTTGCCGCCTGTAAGCTTAAAACAGACTCGTAAATTCTGTCATTATAATTCGCGAGAAGAACGCTAATTTATGCTCCAGTGTCGACGAGGTAGCGAACTTTCGTTGTCACATCCGTGACGTATAAGAGGCGGCTATGTTCGCCGGTTACGGTTGCCGTTAACGCCTGCCGGCTGGGAACTTTCCCGAGGTTTTATTCGTGTCGGTCGACTTAGAGTTCGGGTAATTGCAGGATTTTCTGTAATTTCTGGTTATCATACCAGCACCAGTTGAGGTTATCCGTTTCTCGCAGTCGAGAGACAGATCGCCTACGTGAAAAACTTCGAGGCCGGGTTCTTGACCGACTACGGTTATTTAGAAATCGAAGATATCGTGTTAGTGTATCACATAATTCGGTGATGTCATTCGGGATCGTTTGAGGTTTTTCTTTGATTGAAAAGACCTCAGCGTTAGTATACTTCTTTATTTCCAGGATGTGGTCAGCAGATGCAGCCAGTTCGTTTACGATAATGTTTTGAAATGAGACGAGAACCGCTTGCACCTGTTGAGGAAATTTAAACAAGAAAACTTGTCTGAATAGGCCATCATCGAAAGTTCGCTGGCCGATAACTTCTCTCATCCTTAGCAACATGTTTGTCGCAGAACCATGTTGCAGGTCGATATTACTAAGTAGTTGATCCAACCTTTGCCGATCGGTTAGATCTCAGCGTTTTAGAATCGATCGTCTTAGACTTCCGTAAGGTTCTGGAACATCGCTAGTAAATCTACTAGGTGTGACGCACCTGTTGAATTCGCGCGGTAGTGCCTTAACCACCGCGAGGAATTGTGTGCGCGAGTCCGTGATTCCGGGCCCGCAAAAGTCAGCTTCTGCGTAGCAGAGCCAGGCTTCGATATTATCAGGCCAAAAGAGCGTTAACTGAATAGAGGGTGGGGGAGTAGTTTTCAACTTAAATACCTTAGGTGTCTGTTCCATCATTGTGAAAAATCAAGCATTATGATGAACGAAAAATAAATAAAGTATATCCGAAAAACTCGAAAAAAATATATCACAGTATATAAAAGCCAAATAAAGCAAAGCAATGATTAATCAATTTCCAAAAAGGAATAGACTCACAGTTTGTCGTTTGGTGTACCAGATCACGTCGGTCTCATCACTGGAGATACCACCAGTATTGTAGTTTGGCAACTATTAACCAGTAACAACTTCTATAATCGAATCTTATCCTAAGATCAGAAGTCATAAGCGAAGAGGTTGAAAGATATATTTGATGCGTTATCGAGAAGCGGTTGATCTAATCTGGCTAGTGAACATAGAAAATGTTTCCCACGCTTTGATGTAACGTGGTCTGGTGCGGATGCATGACCGAACGCCTTCAGTTAAACAAGTCCACTAAAACTAATGTGGTCAGCATCCAATGTCGAACACTTAAAAAGCTATTGATTTTGGGGAACTATTTACAGCTAGAAGCACGTTTATTTTCTTTATGAACACTAAGAAGCCTTCTGAGGCATCATTAATGCGCTCAAATAGGTGTCCAAGCAATTTAAAACGTAGCCTGTCAAAGCCAACTGAAGAACCGAGCTTAAAATATACTTAACCATATATGCCATCAGATATACAAGAACTAGGATTATTATCACTATAGGAGCACACCGTAGTTCCAGTCAAACGCCATCGTCACTCTTTAGAAACAATCGTCACGAGAATGAATCCTATCCATTAGTTCAAGCAAACTCATGTTACTTAGCGCTGAATTTGAATATCATGTTTAACAAGTAGTGCAAATACAACCGTATACTGTCTGAAACGTTTAAAGTGACGGAAAAAAGTAACGAATTCTCAATTCTCTCTCTTCATATTATATAGCTTAGGTATTCTTATTGGTCACAAATAGCATTTCAACTCGTAATTCCGAGGTTAACCTCAACCTGGTGAACCGACATTTGAGAAATAACTAGAAAATAGTGCCTCCTATATTCCTGTGGGAGATATGTCAACCCATATATATCTAAAGCATGTCTTCACGTTGTAGTTGATTTCAGTTCGTGGTGAAAATATAAACCTTAAACCCCAATTTTAGACATGAATCCCTAGTAATAATTAAGAACAGCATGATGACTCCTAAATATTTGTTTATATCTCCAAGGGTTGGAGAAGACTAATAATTAACCCCCATCAAGACAACTTTGAATATCGTAGTCCTTTCGATTCACAGAGTAATCTGTAGGGGACATAATTAGACCTACTGTGCATAGTTTGTTTGCAGTTTACGATATTATCGTTTACTTCTCCATATACCTTTTACTTATGAAAGCCGGTTTCAGATAATTTAGAAACAAACTGGATATTTATCATCGTTTTTTGAGCTCGCACTTATGCAACACTGCCTTTTTAAACACCCAAAATCTACCATCATCACATTTTTGATCTATGTGCCTTCTCTATATGTCAATTCTTGACCGCAGCTGCATGATCTTGTAGATGGCATCGAGTCCTGATTGACTATAATCACAACTACAATAAGATCACGCGCCAGAAAACGACTTGGATCCCTCGATAGGTCGAAAACCAGAAGGCTGTATTTGGTCTAGATATCTTTAATTGGTATCAAGCAGTCGGAAACAAAAAGTACGCAACACTAAAAATTTATATCTAAGGACGTAGATGAACTGACTAGCCCCACTTTACCAACCACTACGGTCAAAAATGCCTAGTCCAACTTGATAAACTCTCCCGAGTTTGACTCGTTAAATACGCAAATCATTAGCAGCTGAAACAAATATCACATAAGCTTAAAGGCCATGTATTTTGAAAATGTAAACTATACTCATTAGCTGGTTTTCTTTTTACATGTTTTTTTAAAGTCTCATCAAAAAATTGAAACTTGAAATGTAGTTAATTTATTTTCGAAATCCCCGTCTTCAATAAATATTCAGCCTAGATTAAATGACAGGAAAATAAAATAAATTAAATGTTTATTAATCAGATAAGATGGGAAGTTGGAGTTTAGAAAATATAAGATGAAATCAATTACTCTAATCACGTAATTATGGAAAGTATTTATTTAAACTGATGATTGAATGATGACTCCTAATTCAGTATAGATGTTCTAACTCCTGATCAACGTCTACAAATTCATGACCTACCCATAAACATATATGATAGCAGGTCAAAGTGTTTTTCAACAGATTGCAACTTGACTCGTTAATCATCAATGCGAATGTAACGTTTTGACTAAATACGATTGGTTTATGTTATATCTAGTGTCATCTCATGACTACCTACCTAAACAGAAGTACATCATATGAGACTCGAATCTACCACTCAGTGGTAGATGACTAAATATTGATCTACTACTATTTACTAGCTAATAACATTAACACTTTTTAAGCGGACCAGACACTCTCAGCAACAACCCAATGTGGGAGACAACAAACCAGATTTCATCGAAGGAAGAAATCAGGAAGAAGCGCTGGAAGTGAATAGGACACACCTGGAGGAAATCACCCAACTGCATTACAAGACAAGCCTTTACATGAAACCCTGAAGGCCAAAGGAGAAGAGAAAGACCAAAGAACAGGTTACGCTGAGAAATGGAGACAGACATGAGAAGAATGAAAAAAAGTTGGATAGAACTAGAAAGGAAGGCCCAGGACCGAGTGAGTTGGAGAATGCCGGTTGGCGGCCTATGCTTTATCGGTAGTAACAGCATTAAGTAAGTAATGTCTCCCTATGACTGAAAACCGAATTCATTGAAGTTTACAGTAAAAGACATTATTATTAAGCTTTTCAAACTAAAAGTGGTACCCTACATGACCAGTATAGATATTTAAACTTCCTAGTTTGTATGTCAGGACAAAACCTCACTTATGACAACCTGTAGTGGCTGGTATTATGCCAAGCCCACACAGGTTGTTCTATCTTTTCAACAAACCAATTAATTCATTCTTCCAAAGCCAAATTTTAACCTTACCACTTATTTGTCTATTAACTCTGACCATTTTTTATACGATCATATGTGTGTTAAATGCTCACCCTGTTCACTATGGATCTGTCATTTATTTTTGTCTGCACATCAAAATCGAGTCACGCTTGATTAAAACGAGTTGATTCATTCATCTTTCCCTATGCATGTCGTGTCGTTTCGCTTCGTTTCTTCGATTATCTGTTCGAATCAACTAGCGAACGAAATATACGTATTCAAAACTTGTTTTCGCATTTGATTTATTTTGTTCCGTTATTCTCTAACGCAAATTAAGTCGATAAAAACTATACAAAGGCTGGCAGCATGTATATTCTAATAACAATCAAAGTACGATTTAACTGAAGTCACATACAGGGTCACTAAAAACGGTAACGAATCCGAAAAAATCATACAGGTTTTAAAGTTAGTTATTAATGCATTACCCATGTATTCCATTGTAACAGTTTGTGAATCATTATCAAGCTCACTAAACTTTGACTATAATCTCTAATCTAAAGATTTGGTGAGAGGTTTTGCGTTAATACCTATTACTAAAATGCATAAAAGATTAAACTATTTCAATGGTTTGATGGTTCAAAGTGGAGTAAAATAAACAATCAGTAAACTTACCACAAAATCAACTGGATCATCTGGTCTTATTTCAGAACATTCCAATAAAGCTTTTGATAATTCAGGCATAATATATATCATTAAATAATGACGCATTGGTAGTGAATGTGCTTCAGCATATTGATAATTTTGTGTATTCAACAGAGAAAGCCAATTGTTCTAAACAAAAACATTTTTAACGAAAAGTTATATCAACTACTGAATTTTAATACTCCTTGTAAAAGTATGTAAAACAATTGAAAATCAGTCGCGGTTTATGAAACGTGCCCCACATGAGCTTTGGGTCACATCGATGTGTATCTATAAATTTACTTGCTCATGTGGGTCACGTTACATAGGCCGCACATGGCGATCGCTTTCCAAACTCATCTCTGAACACTATCCAGCTTGGCTCCTTAAAGGAAAATGTAAAAAGATAACTAGTTCGATACAAGAGAGTTTGAAAATCATTCACTAACCTTGAAAGATTGTAGAATGTTAATATGTTACTTCATTTTAAAGTTTGTATTGATGATTTTAGTTGAACACAAAAGTAATATATACTATTCAGTTAAATAATTTAGACTAGAGTTACATATCTTTATTAATACTTAGAGTTGTTTATTTTCTTCCAACTTGTGCTTCTGACTGCTTGCAGAATATATTTCCCCACCTCGGACTTGGACTTCTCACTCTAGTTAGTGAGGCTAGGACAAGTCGGAATAGATAAATTATTTGTCTTTGGTCACAAAGTCTTTGTTCCATTCTCAGATAAGGGAACTCGTAATCGCTTCAAACATAACAGGGAGCCCCTTCTATTTTGAGTACACTCAACGTAGTGAACTATAGAACCTCAAATTTCTATATCATTAAGCCAGTAATTAGAAAATTTAATAGTTAACGTCTTCAAAATCATTCAATGGGACGTATATCCATATCCTCCGTCAAATGCTCTGGTACAGCCGAGGGTGGTAAGAGTCAGTTCTCTCTCTCCAAATGCTCTCACATGGCCACATGCACACAAGCATTGCCTTCTCGCGGCATTACTGTAGTTTACGAAATTAAGAGGATGTAATCAGAGTGTCCGGAGCTTCAACGAGGTTGGTGGACTCGTAAGGACAACCCATGGAGTTGGAAAACCGTGATTCCAAACCAATGGTGCACATGCGCTCCACGACCCTGGAAGAACAAATGGAGTATGGACCAATTTCTGGTCACCGACTACCATGGAACTGCATTCCCTAACGTTACTCTACACCTTTAGATGGAAGGCTTAGGGTGTGGCCCCATAAGAAAACCTTCTGCCTTGGTTTGAGCGTACGGGCAGTAATCCATCCCTCACACAAATGGAATGACATGTGTGGCGCATATGTATTTGGTGTCCCTTTGTACCAATACTTATGCTCTCAGATAAAAATAATTATCTTTCTCCTGTCATCATTATTTATAATTATCTCAATGCTAATATGGTTAACTTTAAAGGTCACAATTCAAGTTTTCAATCAGTTTACATAATTTCATACAGGTTGAATTTTTTTTAAAATTCATCCATCACTGAGCTAGAGGTTACTATGATTCCGTTCAACTAATGAATAAACAAACTAACCGTTTTCGTGTTATATCCTAGCGAAGACATAAGTACGGGTAACTCCCAGGACCTATTAGTGAACGATTATTCTACACATATTTTTATTGCATAACTATTGAGTAATTAGATTGTGTATATCTATATTCACCTTATTATAAGCTTGATTTTGACCTATGGATTATTATGATACGATTTAGTGTTCCTAAATTACATTCAGTTTATTGATTATTGTTTACCATATTCACAGCCACATTTGGCTTCATCTTGTACAAATATTATTTTCTATTTTATGGTGTGATGTGGTCTGTCTGTCTGGTATATAAACCGAGTATGCTTGAAATAAACTATTCGCACAGATTCGCATAACAGAAAATGTCATTGGTGTTCTGGACTCAAGTAGAAGGGCTAGGCGGATAAAGGACCAATAAGGACGCTAGATTACTCATACTGATCGAACGTCATTGGTTTGTTACAGTGTTAAGGTCGGAAAAGTCGTATTTCCATTGGTGAATAATTCACATGAATACCAATTCAATATAAAGTTATTCAATAAGAAAATCAAAACAGGAAAGACACTTTCACAAACCCAATCATTTTCATATTTTTTCAATAATGCCAATTCTTCATTCTTTTGTTTGTCTAATTTTTCTTTAGCTAATTTTATTTTTTCTAATTCAAATTCTTTTAAAACTTTTAATGCTTCTTGTTGAATTTCATATTCATTTTGTTTTAATGGATAAATTTCAATAGAGGGTAATTTAAATGCTTCACGTTGTCCTATTACTTTACGTACTTTTTCTAAACAAGCTTCTTGTGGACCATTTAACATAATTACCTGAAATAAGTAAATAAATACATTTATTTTTTTTCACAGTTGAAATCATGAGTCATTTGAAGCTAGACCACCATCGAAAACCTGGACGCACTGGATGGCCGTTTCGTCCTATTGTGGAACTCCTCAGCAGTACGCATCCACGATCCCACACTCGCGAGATCCGAAACCAGGACCTATCAGTCTCGCACCAGAGCACTTAGCCGATAGACCACTGAGCCGGCATCCAACGGTGTTAATGTCTAACTTCAACCAATCCACGATTTCGAGCGACCGTTCACCAATTGTCTTCAGTGAGCTGATATCTCTACAACAGACTTGGTAGAACTCCATTGGTCACTGCTTCCCACTAGAACTCAAGGAAATATCTCTTGAAGTCAGTCACTAGTGAGCATATGATTATATATCAGAGGGTGTTTTGTGGAGAATTAACCAAAGATGGATACTGACTAGCAGTGGAATCCAGGATGCGCAATTCGTCCTATTTGGGACCCATCAATAGATAAATGGATAACGCGATGGTTTTTGAAGCGAACGGTACTGGGTTCGAGTTCCGGAGTGAACATCAACTCTGAGATGCAGATGAATCCAGCTAACGAGTCTCAAGTCGGAAGAAACACATCAACCACTTCGTGATATAGCGTAACATAATAATCAGCCTAACAGATTTGCTTCCAGTTGAATATTTACATCCACTGTATATTGTAACAAGCCATAGTTCATTTTACCAACCAATTCTTTGTCCATGTACTATATCCTTAAACACAATTTTTCTTTTATATATTACTACCACTGAAGTAACTAATTCTATGAATATGCTGATCATCTTGTTGGGCTAATGAGGTGTGACAACTTGAATCAATGTATATATGTGCCTGTGCCTACGTTGTAGCTGGCTGACTGTCTGATAGTTTATGTGAAATGCCACACTTTTTACATTGATTTACAAAACTAGCATGTTTGATGAAAGTTATCGTAAATAAATGTGATAGGATAACAATAACGTGGTTAAGTGATAAAAATCTAAAATGTGAAATGAAATGTGCAGGATAATGCAGAAATGTAAAAGAAACCAAAACAGTTACAGGGAATGGTGATCAAGCAAATTGTTACTGTACAAACAGATACGACTTTATGTTATGTATCGCATCCACTTCTGATGTGTATATGAAATATATGAGGATATATTTCAGTGAACCAAGTTTTATCTTATAAATGATATTGAATGGTGAGTTCGATGCTATATAGTTATTGTTCAGCCACTTGTCGTAAAACAGAGGTTTTTATAACTGCACTATGTTTTACTAAGCTAAGAACTAAGGTGATCACTTACTCTGCATTGTTATGTGAACTAAAAAGTTACGCCATACTGATGTGAAACAACTATTAATCAGTTGAAGTTATATATTAACACTGCTGGATGCCGGCTCAATGGTCTATCAGTTAAATGCTCTGGAGCAAAAATGGTAGGTCCTAAGTTCGAATCTCGCTAGTGCGGGATCGTGGATACACACTGCTGAGGATTCCCATAATAGGACGAAACGGCCGTCCAGTGCTTCCAGGTTTTCCATGGTAGTCTAGCTTCAATTGACTCACGCTTTCAACTATTAAATGCCCTATATATTGAATCGGTTTTACGGAATAAAGCAACTAATCATTTACTTACTGGACTAGAATCTTTATCCATGTTAATGATTAATGGATGAATTTCTCTTATATCAAAATAAGTTAAAACATTTTCTTCAGTTTCATCTGGTACTTCAGGTAAAGGTGGAATATGCGCCAGTTTTAATTCTAATGCAATTGATTCTGTTATTGTGTGTTGTTGATGTCTATCGATTTCTTCTTCATTTTGTCCTTCCATTTGTCTACTTTCTTCAATCGCAATATCCATTTCATTGTCTTTTTTACGTAACTGATCTTCATCATTTTGTTGAATGTCTTCTTCTTTCAAGTTAGTTCCTTCCATTGATAGAGATTTCGATTTTACATCTTCAGTTTGATGTATTTCCGGTTTTTCCATTTGACTTTTTCCTTGAACTATATTTTGATCATCAAAAGAAAATTATATTTATGTACATATAATGCGGTTGGTTATACAAAAATGTTATTTTTATATATAGTTGAAATCATGAGTCGATTGAAGCTAGACCACCGTGGAAAACCTGGAAGCACTGGACGGCCATTTCGTCCTATTGTGGGACTCCTCAGAAGTGCGCATTCACGATCCGGCCTGCTATTTTACGGAAAAAAATCATTGGACGTGATCTACTAAGAATATTTAGTCTCTGGTGAACAATAAAAATTAATTTTGACTACATTATGAACAGAGTCATGTAGAGCAAAATATCCATTACTAGACAGTGAATAAAACTTAAACGTTTCTACCTAATAATAAAATTCATATCATCAATTATTATAGATCAGAAGGGGTTTTGTGGAGATTTCAGTATTTTCATAGTTGAAATCATGAATCAATTGAAGCTAGATCACCATCGGTTAAGTGCTCTGGCGCGAGACTGGTAGGTCCTGGGTTCGAGTCTCGCTCGCGAGGCGAGATCGTGGATGCTCACTACTGAGAAGTCCCATAATAGGACATCAGTCATTAATCAATCCAGTGAATTCTATGAATTACTTATTTATACTGCCGTAGCTTGACCATTTCTTAAAGTATAAGAAATGTGATTGAGAGCAGTGTATTAATTAATTTCGGATCTGACTGTTTATCAACATTGAATAGATTTATACTTTTCTTTACTGAAAGTATCAGTTTAATGTTTCAAGAAGAATAAATGTACACCTTCGAAACTATTGGTAATATTATGATGGTACTATTGTATTTTTAGTTGGTTCACTTAATTGTAACGTTTCTGATATCAGTAGTTCTAACCACTCTAATTTCTCATAATGAAGATTTGTAGTATAGGAACAGAAAAGATATTTGACCATATTATTTATAGAACAGATGGCTGATGACTAACAGTTGAATTCAGGAAGCTCATTTCGTTATATTCGGTGCTTATAAGTTGAATGAAACTCCATCACAGTGTTGTTGTTAACATTGGCACTCAAACCTAGTACCTTTGCCTCCAAATGTTCACGTGTTGTTGAGTGAGCTACTGAGTTTAGGTGACTACTAACGTGATTAATTAGTATGATACTTATATCATTATTTGTGGTTGATGTTCAAGACTGAATTTCGATATGTTTTTGTCAATATGCGTCCATACTGTACGGTTTACATCGTTATAGGCATGAGCTAGACTATAATTTATGGACGACCTTTGAACAAATATTAAGTGACCTTGAGAAATATTAACCAATTGGGGAACAGTTAGTGTAGATTAAAATATACATCATACAAAACCAAAGAATTTAAGTGGATACACTTCTTCTAAATGGTTCAAAAATTTGTTAAGGTTAGAAAGAAGTTCAAAGGTTCTAAAACCGTAATGCATAATGTAGAGGAACTCATCCATATGACTCCATAATTGTCGGTCTCTGGAGCCCTGATAAGGTCGTGAATACTCTTTCAACCTCGACAACATAGCTTCAGTACTATTTGTGTGTACTCTGGTTGTGCAAGGTTGTCACTTTTGTTACTCATATATCTCTACAATACTTATACAACTGAACAGCCGAAGCTTCAGTAACATCTGCGAATATTATAGCTAATGTTGCTGGTGATTTTATTACACAGTTCGGAGCAATTATTATAAGTTGCCTTAATTTCACTTTGGATCAAGTGAAAAAAGTTCCTATTCTAACACACTTCTTCCTCCAACATATATTTCACCGAAAGATATCATAATGGTAGTCTCCACAGGGTCCATAAGTCATTTGATATCCGCAGTTACAAGTAAAGGAACTTATTAGTAGTGTCATTTATTGTAGATGCTTACTTGTCACGTCTTCTCTAAAATTCTCTGTGAACAGACCGTACATGAGCATCAGGAGCTGAAATTGGCGCCGTGAACTTGAACCCCCTTAATCGATTATGACTGGCTCGCCCGTAAATTATAGTCTCGCCTATGTATGCTAGAATGTTTGCATTTTTCATAATCCTATTTTCAACAAAATTAACTTCATAGAGCAGTCATTTTCCATGTCTTTAGTTTTAAAATTATGTAACTCCATCTACAAATGTAATTGCATGTCTTTCTACATTATTAATCTTCTTACGGTCTATCATTCTAGTTCCCAGATAATGAATATGATGTGAAACACAGATCAGAATAACAGAAACAATAAGTCTCAGCTAGCAAAATGGCCTTCTAATGAATTAGTTCAGTCATCCAACATTAAACAAAATATGTTAATGTTTAGCCATTAAGATTAATGAGCATCTTATAAATTGATTGATAAAATCTCATCGGTTGGTCAACTACAACGTAGGACCAGGCACACATATGCATCGGTCCAAGTTGCCATACCTTGTTAGCACAACAAGATGAACACCGGATTCATAGTAGTTAATTTAGTGTTGGTGTTAATATATAAAAGAAAGGTTGTATATAAGGATATAGCACAAAAAGAAAGAAATATTTGAAGCAATTTTAGTCTCAAGGTTTAAGGGAAGATAGTGTATACACTTACACCATTGTAGTCGATTCTGAACCATGTCACCCAGAGTCTCTAACCATTGGTTACGATAGTTACGCGTACCCCAACCAAGTAGTCTGCATCTGCCAACATGGCTTAGAATAGAAGTTGGTGACTTCAAGCACTGATGCCACGTTTTGGTTTGGCCGCCCCTAACTTTCTTCCAACCATACTCAATACTGAACAGCATAGCGCGTCGTGGTAATCGGTGTTCAGGCATACGTAACACGTGGCCCAACCATCTCAGTCGATGAAGATTCATGACCTGATCAACTGATTTAGCATCATTCCCTAATACCATGGGTTAACCTCACTATTACTTACCCGGTGATCTCAGCAGATGCGAGTAATATTTCTAAGGTATCTGTGGTCAAATACTAGTAACTTGCCAGTATCTTTTACTTTTAATGGCTATGTTTCACATCCGTAAAGTAGAACAGAGCAAACTGCTGAGCAGTATCAAATCTCACTGTGATTATTGGCTAGATAAACATGACATTAATTAACATTTGGTAGACTAGTCAATCTAACTCCGCCTTTAGCTCCTCCAGTGGTTACTGCCGGTCCCAAGCCCGGATAATGCAGGAGGGTTGAACATGTGGCTAGTCAATCTAGTATGTTTCTATTTATTATTTCATCATATTATCTTACGTGAATTTGCTTCATCCATAAGTATTGAACGTAAATTTGCTGCATTTGGTGCCATTACAGAACGATATTCTTGTAATCTTCTATCAAATCTTTCTTTATATGTTTCTAATTGTTTGAAATTTATAACTTGTCTAATAGATTCATCTTTCAGTACAGTCTTATCACTCATTAAATATAATTTCCAATTTGGTAATTGAATTTTCATTTGTGTTGGATTAAAATTTGATACAGAAAATTGATTATTGAATCTTTGTAATAATAAATTATTACTACCAATTAAATAGATAACATAATTTGGTGTTATTAAACGATGTGATTGTGATGGTAAATTATCATTCATTAAAATATCTTCATCTTCTGGATCAGCTAAAAAAAAAAAGTAAGGAAAACCAAAATGGTTGATAGAAATATGAATATCAGAAGAGATCATGAGTTCATTGAAGGTAGATCATCATGGAAAATCAAGATGTAATGTAATGGGACTGCCTCCAAATGCCATGGTATGGCTGAGAGTGGGGAGAGTTCACTCTCCCTCTCGAAATGCCCTCACATGGTCACGCGTATATAGCCTCGGCCAGGGGAGTCCTACTCACTGCCTTCTCGCACCACGGGTGTTCTCTACGAAATCGAGAGGACAAAAAGCAAATGTTCGACGCTTTAACCGGTTTGGTGGACACGGAAAGTTCATCTAGGGGAGTTGGAAAACCATGATTCCAGACCAATGGTGCACATGGGCCGACTCCAGTATCCTGATGGAACAAATGGCGTATGAATCAATCGTTGGTCACCGGCTACCATCGGACTGCATCTCCTTACCATGCTTCACTACCTTGTTGATCAGATCTTTAGGTCAAAGGCTAGGGGTGCGGCCCCCTAAGGAAACCACCTTTTTTGATCTCGGCAGCCAGGCAGTATCGCAGCTCTCACACAAACCAAATGAGATTTGTGTGGCGCATATGTATTCGGTTCCCCTTTATACCATTATTTATGTTTTTAAATAAAATAAAGTATGGGACTCCTCAGTAATGTTTTACATATTAGGTACCAATAGAGTCCTGAATGTGTATTTCCATTTAATTAGATTTCATCATTCAAACTGGAAAATAATTTCTGAATGTTAAAGAAAAGAGATAATACAAATTTTGGTAAAGTTTCGTTATTTGAATTATACAATTTACTTGTGAAGTTTTTATTGTCCTTTCTGAAAAAAAAAACATTATCAGCAAAAACTTCTGGTCTAGGTAAGCTATTCGAATCTCTTCATATATATATGACTATGAGTTAGTTAGACACAAACGAGGCTTGATTGAGTGCCTCTTTATTAGGTTTCAAAGAATATGTACCACAGATACAGTTGAAGAAGATGCAAAACTGCTAACTGACTCACTAATATCAAGTGGTTATCCACTGAAGTTTATAAATAGGTTCATAAGCTTGGAACTCAGGTCAATCAACAATAAACAAGCACACTGAAATCAATTCAATTTATCAACCAATCAGGAAATGTATGCAGCAACATAGGAACAAAAATCAAACCGATGGGAGATACAATCAAAATAAAGAAAGAAACAATGACAGATTTAAGGTCAATAAGAACCAATCAACATCGAGGTGTACAGGACAAGCTGTAAATCACATGTGGAGAAATGCAAACACTTCACTTCTACCCGAAGTTTGTGCTGATGATTTCGTTCAGAAGGACGATGAAAGCTCCACGACCAAACCATCCAGCTCAGAGAACAAATCCACATCAAAATTAAATGATTTATTATTTCATCAATAATATAACATTACACTACCATTGTGCTCAATTAAAACTATCTTATTACATAAACTTACGTCTGAATAAGAGTTCAGCTTGTTGTAATGTTTTTGGGAATCCATCTAAAATAAATCCTTGATTTTGACATGGTTTAGATAGTAACTTTTGGACTAATAATCTACAAATTGAAAGTGAAACAGTAAAATATTGTAAACTGATACAAATTGTTAACCTTAAGTAAATATTTATAAGATGGATAGTGGTTAGCAGTGGAATCCTGTTTGACGCGCGTTTCGTCCTCTTTGGGATTCGTCAGCTGGATGTACATGCATCTCACCTCATTGCACAAGCAAGTGGCTATCAGGACTCAGTGGATAATGCGATGGCGTTTGAAGCGAAAGATACTGGGTTCGAGTCACAGAGAGAATATCAACTCTGAGATGCAGGTATCTCCAGCTGATAAGTCCCAAATAGGACGAAACGCGCGTCAAAATGGATTCCACTGCTAGCCACTATACATCTTTGCTTACAATGCTTGTGAATTAAGGCCACATCGAGGCAATACGCACAGTATGCACATATGCCAATTAGAGACTGACCAGTTGCAGTCCTAACTCGTCGATGGGAAGATTCAAACAAACAATACTACTTGAATTTGATATTTATAAGAGGTTTCATTTCCTCTCTAATTATAATTTATCAGTTCACATTAACATATAGGAGTCATCAGTGTGCTGTTACGGTATCATCATTCAATTATAAGTTTTTAATACAGTCAGACAATAGCTAATGGTAGAATCCAGAATGTATGTTTTTTTCTGTTTGGAATAGATCAACTGGATGTATCTCCATCCCAATGTTGATATCTATTTCAATTCCCAATACATTATCTAATAAGTTACAGAGTTTAATCAGACATTAGATGGCGCAACGGGTATGAAGTTTATTTGTAAGGGTTTGTACTTTTCCATCATTAGTGTTAACTTAACAGGATTATATTTTAAACAGAGATAGATGATAGTTAGCAGTGGAATCCTAGACTTGCGTTTCTTTTTACTTGGGATTAGTCAGATGTTGATATCCACTCGAGATGTCGAGCCAAGTTCCGTTCGCTTCAAATGCCATCAGGTGGTTCATTTAGCTACTGAGTTCAGATAGCCACAGGGTTGTATAATGAGATGAATTTTAGTTCATATATATTGCTTGTTTGGATTTTACCATTGATGCTTGACACTGCAATCGATTAGGGTTAAATTACATTTAAAATACACAAGCCATTGAAAGATATTGGTTTTTTGTACGTCATTCATATGTTATTAAAATTCACATTTGAAAATCAGACTTAACAGTTTGATTCATGAGCCGATCTAAGCTAGACCACCATTGAAAACCTGGAAGCACTGGACGGCCGTTTAGTCCTACTATGGGACTCTTCAGCATTGCACATTTTCGATCCGGTATGCGGGAATCGAACCCAGAACCTTCGATCTCGCGTGCGAACACTGAGCCGGCAGCCAACTTCTAAGGAGTTCTGTACTAGCATGAACTGGTAGTTCACTGCTTTCAGGTTTCCATTAGTGGTCTAGCTGAGATCGATTCATAAATTTAAATGTTGAAATGACTACAATCTCCATAAATCACTAATCTGATAATGATCAGCTTTAAATTTGTACTTTAAATAGATTTTAAACCTGACTACAAACCTTATTGAATCATCAGATTCAACAATCTACTCAAACTAACTATTTCAATCAATTTTAAATTGAAGGAACTAGACTTGAAGAGACTTGGACTAGAATGTAAATGATTTTCAGAACTTTTAAATTGATTATTAAAGAGTAATGTTAAGATTTTACATCAATCATAATTAAATGATTACATCAAATCCAATATTCGCATAGTTGAAAGCGTGAGTCAATTGAAGCTAGACCACCATGGAAAACCTGGAAGCACTGGACGGCTGTTTCGTTCTATCGTGGGACTTCTCAGCAGTGCGCATCCACGATCCCGCACTCGCGAAAATCGAACCCAGGACCCACCAATCTCGAGCCAGAGCCCTTAACTGATAGACCACTGGTGGTCTAGCTTCAATTGACTCACTCTTTCAACTATGTAAATGCTAAATATCCACAAAACCCCTTCTGATAATTAATAAAATCCAATATTATCATTATCTGAAGGTATTTATATTAGATTACCGTATCAGTGTTTCATCGTTTAGTTTACCAAATTCATTACAATTCTCTTTTAATTGTTCTAAACGTTCTTGACAATCATTGACCAGCATTTCTAATTCATCTTCAGAATTCCAAGTTGGTAATGGACTAAGTGGATAATACTCTAAATCATTTAATTCATTCGCTTTCCCGTCAAAAGTGACTTTCTCTAGGTTATACAAAAGTAAAAAGGATAAGAAAAGAACTCACTCAATGTTTTAAAACTAGGAGAGGACACTCTTAGACTGTAGGTTCTTCATGATAGGCGGTTCTAAGAGTTTCTCGCCTATCGTGGAACCTGCGAAGGAGCTATGTTAAGGTTAGACATAGTGTACCAAACAAAAGTGGGCAGTCTGTTGATTAGGTTGTTAATCTTTATTAATTGAAGGGGGTATGACTACATCGAGTGTAGATGATCACCGCTTACCTCAACAGTTGATGTTTACAGGTGTCGGAGAAGGTCGGAAGAAAGCCAAGATCGGGAGAATTAAAACAAACCATCATTTCATGAAGCTGCTGATGTTGATCTGAGTTGTGTTGGTAAATGGATGCTACCTAGTTGGGATGAGGGCGATAACGGCGATCAGTGGTTGGAGACTAAGTGAAATGGCTAGGAACAGTTCATGGCGGTGTATATGCATTAACGTTTTATGTCCCTCTCTCTCCTGAAGTTTTGTGTTCCCTCATATATACCTACCCACTCTATCTTTCAGAATCATATTCTCAATACTCAATCATAATCATTATCATTTCTACTACATTATTTTGTTTTCTTCTCCTATAAATCTTGTTAATTTCGTTTATTTGTACTAATGTGACTCGGCACATTGGCCTAACTCATTTATGTGCTAATCTCTGTACTAATTGTTGGTTGTTTTCCTTGAAAATTGAGATGATTTATCTAATTAATATAAAGTTTAGATACGGTTCTAGTGAGAAGTCGTAGCCAGTGGAGCTAATCCATGTCAGGTAGAGACAGGCATCTACCTCAGTACAATGGAAGTTGGTCGCGCGATTTCTTGGATTGGTTGAGGTTAGACATTAACACTGTTTCATGCCGGCTCAGTGGTTTATCGGTTAAGTGCTCTGGCACGAGACTGGTAGGTCCTGGGTTCGAATCCCGTGAGGTGGGATCGTGAATGCGCACTGCTGAGGAGTCCCACAATAGGACGGAACGGCCGTCTAATGCTTCCAGATTTCACATGGTGATCTAGCTTCAATTGACTCATGATCTTAACTATATTGAATGGAATGCAAATGTTAGTTTATGACTTAAACTATGAAGAAAAATGAATCTATCAAATGCTTTCATTTTACCTCCAGTCATTATGCCTTTGTCATCTTCATCTTCATATGAATCCAAAATTTCATTCATTGGTTTTAGTAATTTGGTTGAATAATCTGACGATAAGTTGACATTTGATGGATTTGTAACATCAGTTATCGATTCTTTTGTCTCATTATCATCTAACAATAATTGATCAGTTCGTGAATTACGTTTTAACAGCACTTGTTCAACAGATTCAGAATTCATTTCAGCTGCAAGACGTTCTTTTTCACGAATCAACAATAAATGTTCATAGGCTTTGATTGGTTCAAGCTTTAATAAGAAAAAAAATATGAAAGGTGATGTGAACCGCGAAACAAGAAGCGTTAACAAACTACGAAAGCTATTTTTGGGGACGTTATTTCATTTCATTCAAACCTTGTATAACTGTAACATTTACTTATGTCCCTAGTCTATTCTACAGATCATAAGCTTTCGTTTGATGTATGATTCACTGACATAGCATTTTCTGTTCCAAAGCTATTGTAATTCAGATGTAACGTTTTGTACTCTATTTTCTACTCTATTCCCCCAGTTTTGGATATCATTGTATTTTCCTAATTATTGTACGTCGTGGTCAGGCTACTCATTTATTTATTCATGTATCTTTTCGCACTAATCTGAAAATCGGGTAACAGATCGGAATTTTGAGTAAAGCGAGTAGTGTTCCAGTTGTCTTGTCAGCCAATCAGGTGATAAGATAGTTTTCTTCTCTCTACCCCCACATCGAACTCACACATACTAGCCTCAAGGTTTAGCCAGTCAGCTTATCGCGTCAAGGTCTTAATCTGCATTAGACAAGATATATTCGGCACTAAAATGGGTAGACTGATTCAAGGACGTAACAAAAGGAAATGAGAATAGAATTTTGATGTAAAAGGTAGTGGATAAGTTTTCAAGCAAGGATTTTTGGGTAAAACATAACATATACATATATTCATTAATGTGAGGCTGATCATAATTTTAAATAATTTGTCAGCTATTATCAACGATATTCAGGAGATTCGCTCCTCTTAAAAATTCACCGACTACCAATCTAAACTTCTAGTCTTATGTTCATAGAAGAATCCTCTGGCAACCTTGGTGACACAGAATGCAATATGTTTTTTTTACATTTTAGTGTAGGATCCCTTAAAAATAGGCAAAAATGACTCAACCACAGATGAAATTGAAGACTTTAAGGTTTTACAATTGGTTGATTATTGGGTGGTGATCAATGTCAAGTGTGTCTCGGGTTCTTCTTAGTACAGATTGGATCCTATCAACTAAGTTGCAATATGGCCATTAGCCTACGTGACTCGACATTGCGTGAACTATGTTGAAATAAGATGGTGGCTGAAGGTAGTCGGCAGAAAACTTTGGACCTAGGTTTCGTGATACTTGTCACTCGTCAGCAAGGTTTACCAGTAACCTTGAGGTAACTGATGCACTGAGGAGGACCTGATGCACATGACATTGATCACCACCTTGTGATCAATCAATTGTAAATACATCTCGCGGACCGGATAGCCCAGTGGTAACGTCTCCGACTGTGAAGCTGGGTGACACGGGATGGAATCCGTCAGGGAGCATCAGTTCCCTCATGATTAAAGGTACACCTTGCAAACGAAACCATGCACGAAACCAAGGTCCAAGGTGTCCTGTCAACTACCTACAACCACCATCTTAGACATTCAGGCTTGTTAATGAGAGGCCAACTTGTAAGTCAATAAATTTGCATACAAAAGTTTAGTCTGCGGAGCCAGATGGATCTAGATACAACTACTAATAATATCATTATTGCTCTATACAAAGGAGTCCCACACTAGTACAGAACAACAATCCGGTTCCCTTTGGTTTTTAATAGTTGTTTAATTAAAGTCATTTAGTGATTTGGAACTACAAATTATTCAGCCCATACAACGTTTTAAGATGTCTTTTGTAAGAAATATGAAAACTCAAACTGATGCTTATTGTTTCCAGGTTCTGTATTGTTGATGACTAACTAGTTGATTATTATTCGTCGTTCAACATGTTTGACTTTAAATGTAACAACTTTCATTGCTTATATTATTTGAAAATGATAATTTCGACGAATTAACATTACTTATATACAACGATCAGCTTCAATATTAGTGTGGTATATGCTACTGATGCCGACAGACATAAGTAATATGTATCATTATTAATCGAAATTCGAATGCCCGGTGGAGGAATGTTAAGAAGATCAAGGAGAAGAGATCTAGAACAGAGAATGATTAAATGTGGAAACAAAGAAACAATGAAGTCTGAGACGATTGACTGACGTTTTGCAAATGAAGTATTTACTATATAAATTCATTTAGTATTGTTTTGTTTGAATCTTCCCATCGACGAGTTAGGACTGCAACTGGTCAGTCTCTAATTGGCATATGTTCATACTGTGCATATTGCCTCGATTTGGCCTTAATTCACAAGCATGGTAAGCAAAGATGTATAGTGGCTAGCAGTGGAATCCAGTTTGACGCGGGTTTAGTCGTATTTGGGATTCCTCAGCTGGATGTACCTGAATCTCAGAGTTGATATTCTCTCTGTGACTCGAACCCAGTACCTTTCGCTTCGAACGCCATCGCATTATTCACTCGGCCACTGAGTCCTGATAGATTCAAACAAACAATACTAAATGAATTTAAACTTCACCCCATCGCACAAGCAAGTGGCTATCAGGACTCAGTAGCTTAGTGGATAACGTGAAGGCGTTTGAAGCGAAAGGTACTGGGTTCGAGTCATGAAGTGAACATCAACTCAGAGATTCAGGTACATCCAGCTGACGAGTTACAAATAGGTTGAAACGCGCGTCCAGGATTCCACTGCTAGCCACTATCCATCTTTATTTACTATATAGCTTTCAGATTTTACCAAAATATTGTGTAATGTTGTATTGAAATACATTTAGTTGTCTCCATTCGTGTTTTTGTTCATTTCATTAGTGATTCGAGAAATATAATATAATCAAAGAAAAATAGAAAAATAGAGAATTATGTATAGAAACAGTAGTATTTAATGCCTATGATTTTTAGTAGATTAAATGAGAACATGATTGACTTTTACTTATATGACAATGGGGTTTTGTGGAGATTTTAATAATTTTATATAGTTAAGATCATGAGTCAATTGAAGGTAGATCACTGTGGAAAACCTGGAAGCGCTGGACGGCTGTTTCGTTCTATTGTTAGACTCCTCTTCAGTGCGCATCCACGATCCCTCCTGGTGAGTTTCAAACCCAGGACCTACCAGTTTCGCGCCAGAGCACTTAACCGATAGACCACTGAACCGGCCATCATCTAGCGGTGTTAATGTCTAACTTCAACCAATGCCCGAAATTGTGCGACCATGGTGGTCTAGCTTTAATTGACTCATGATCTTAACTATATAAAATTTTACTTATATGGTCTATGATATCAAACGACTGATATTGGATATTTGGCTAACCATAGTCAAGAAGTTGATAATCTTTTGGGAAATGTTGATTTGGAAAGAAAAACAAAAAAAAAGAATTCTTCTACGATGACTTACCAGATTTCGAATATATTCATATAATAAACCTTTCAAGTGTATATGATGTAAACGATAAATCTTACAAAGTTCTTTAGCAAGAGTAGTTTTGCCAATACACGGTGGACCAAGAATACATAAACGTAATGGCTAACAGTAATGTAATAAAAGAAAATTGAGAAAATATTCCAGATTAGCTGACAACAAATTTCAATACAACTTTCATTATCAACTAAACAATGGATGGTGTAACCTGGAAGCACTGAACGGCCGTTTCGTTCTATTATGGGACTCTTCGGCAGTGCACATCCACGATCCCTCCTGGCGAGATTCTAATCCAGGACCTACCAGTCTCGCGCGCGAGCACTTAACCGATAGACAATTGGCGAACGGTTGCTCAAATTTTGTGGATTGGTTGAAGTTAGGCATTAACACCGTTGGATGCTGGATCAGTGGTCTACCGATTAAGTGCTCCGGCGCGAGACTGATAGGTCCATGGTTTGCATCTCGCGAGTGCGGGATCGTGGATGCGCACTGTTGAGGTGTCTAATAATAGGATCAAAAGGCCGTCCAGCGCTTCCAGGTTTTCCACAGTGGTCTAGCTTCAAGTGACTCATGATTTCAACTATGATAATGCTGAAATCTCCACAAAGACCCCTTCGGATGGTGTAACATGGATAATCAAAGAGGAACCAAGAGAAAGTTTCTTTTCTTCATTTCGGGTGAAAAATTCTCAACAGTTTTCATCTATGAAATAAAATACGATTAAACTGAAGTAGCTCAACTACAGTCGATAAATGACTCACTTTTGATGGTATCGAATGATAAGGAATTTGTTGATATTGGAGTTTTGTTCTCTGAGCTGAATGGTTTGGTCTTGTAGCTTTCATCGTCCTTCTGAACGACACCATAAGCTCAAACTTCAGGTAGAAGTTCACGAGTCCATTGAAGCTAGACCACCATGGAAAACCTGGAAGCGTTCGCGTGAGAGACTGACCGGTTCTGGGTTCGAATCTTGCGAGGCGAGATCGTGGACGCGCTCTGCTGAGGAATTCCATATTAGGACGAAACAGCTGTTCAATGCTTCCAGGTTTTCCATCGTGGTCTAGCTTTAATTGACTCATGAATTTAACCACTAAATTACCGTTATCTATGTTGAGAAAGATTCAGCCATAAGAAAGCATTATTTGAAGATGTATTTAATATTATCAAATAATGATGCTGAATACATTTCATTAGATGAAAGCTATGTGAAAATTTTTCTGCAATAATGTTCAATATTGTTTAGTTTCGGATATGCTGATGGAAGTGAGTTGACCATCCGAAGATGCATTTTCAAAATAAAATAAGGGATATATATATGTATTCCTGTTGTGAGAGGGTTTTAACATAATATATATTCTTTTGAGAAATCTTGAAAACGCTCATTGAACTAAAAAGGCCAAGGGTTAAACTAGTAGATACATATACTAAACTTAAACATAAAAAGTGAAGTACTGTTATATATCATACTGAGGTTTGTGCCACTGACGTCGACAGATATAAGTAGTATGTATCATTAATAGAATGTGAAATGTCTAGCAGCAAAAGGTTAAGAAGATGGAAGGAAAGAGAACCAGAATAGGGAATGATTGGTATGGAAACGAAAGAACAATGAAGTGTGAGACAACTTGTGTTCTAGTTCACAACAACACCATATTGGTACGATGAGATGAAAATGAACAAGATGAATAATTAAATAGATTCACTTAGTATTGTTTGTTTGAATCTTCCCATCGACGAGTTAGGACTGCAACTGGTCAGTCTCTAATTGGCATATGTGCATACTGTGCGTATTGCCTCGATATGGCCTTAATTCACAAGCATTGTAAGCAAAGATGTATGGCGGCTAGCAGTGGAATCCATTTTGACGCGCGTTTCGTCCTATTTGGGACTTATCAGCTGGAGATACCTGCATCTCAGAGTTGATATTCACTCTGTGACTCGAACCCAGTTTGAAGCGAGGGTACTAGTTTCGAGTCCCAGAGTGAACATAAACTCTGAGATTCGGGTATCTCCAGCTGACGAGTCCCAAATAGGACGAAACGCGCGTCTAAACTGGATTCCACTGCTAACCACTATCCATCTTTGCTTAATTAAATAGATTGAAATAATGTGGTACCAGTGATAATTATCAAATACCAAACATCAAAAATTAGTTTCTACAAACACAGTTGAAAGGTAAATGCATAGGAATACTGGGATTCAAGATCAAGAGAAAGATAAAAAGTGAATACATCTGAGCTATGGTAAACGATCCTGAGCTACGTCACTTAAGTCTCCAATCAAAGTTATCATACAGTTGTTAATAAAGCCATAGAATGTATCGAAATAAATCAGAATACACATCTTGTTGACTTTGATCATTCAACTTGTTACATAAACAAATTATTACTGATTTTGGCACTAATCAACATTTAACGTTGGGGCTTATCGATTCCTTTATATTGTATACACTCTCTTATACTGTTCATAGAACTTTTCAGAAAACATTATGCTAATGTTCCGTAAGACCGATTAGTAGGTTTACTGACGAATCCCTTCTGACTCTTCTATGAATACAGATGTGGCCAAATATCTGAAATCTGACAAGTAATTAATATGTTATTTTATAAATATATGTCACCCGAATTTTGTTTCTTTGCATTTTTTTATGGAAGGATATGACAAACGTCAAGTAATTGAAGGTAGAAGGAAATCCTGAACTTAATTTTCATGCTTTCTTACTTATGCCTGTTATCCCTCGTGGAGGAGCATACGCCGCCCACCAGCATTCTCCATCCAACCCTTCCTGAGCCATCCTTTCCAGTTCTTTCCAGTTGTTATTCATCCTTTTCATATCTGCTTCTATTTCCCGACGTAATGTGTTCTTTGGCCTTCCTCTTTTCCGCTTCCCTTCCGGATTCCAAGTAAGGGATTGCCTTGTAATGCACATTAGTGATTTTTTAATGTATGTCCTATCCACTTCCAACGTCTTTACCTAATTTCCTCTTCAGCTGGAAGCTGGTTTGTCCTCTCCCACAGAAGGCTGTTACTTATAGTATCCAGCCAATGAATGTTGAGTATTTTGCATAGATAACTGTTTATAAATACTTGTACCTTCTTGACGATGGATGTAGTAGTTCTCCACGTTTCAGTTCCGTACAGTAGGACTATCTTGACGTTCGTATTGAAGATTCTCACTTTGAAGTTAGGTGACAGTTGTTTTTAGTTCCATGCTAGTTAGGACATACCAGTAAGACTTGCATATAATATTAAGTCATCCACTTAGGAACACTGAAACTTGATCGATATTATTTTATCATTACTAAACGACTACACAAACATTAAGTTAGTCACTACTCATTGGTCAGTCAGTTGTAGAATAAGATAGTTATCTATCAGTGCAAACAAAATACAAATATGTTATGCCCTGATAACAATAGGGAATGGTAACTTTGGGATCCATTTATGGACCGATATTATGCATAGATATTTTTATCGTATAATTGCTAAATAACTAATTATTCATATTCACGTTTCCCTTATTATAAGCTTTATTTTGATCTATGGACTACCATTATACGATTTACCATTCTTGAGTTATCCCTAGTCTAGTAATTACTGCCTCCCATATTCACAGCCACACTTGGCTGAATTTTGTACAAATGTTACTTTCTATTTTATTGGTACGAAGTGGTCAGCCTGTTTGGTATATAAACTTAATATGTTTGAAATACAATGATTCATACCACAGAGGCTGTTATTAGTGTTATGGACTTAACTGGCTGGGCTAGGCAGATAACAGAACCGGCAAGGACACTAGACTGCTCGTACGGTTCTCGTGTGTCACTGTTCCAATCGATAATCTGCTGTTCTCTGATTGGCGGTTTTATCACGTTCATACGTTAACAAGGCATCCACTCGACCGCAAGTTATAACAAAATACGATATCTACCAAACATGCAATGTGACCAGAATAATTCAAAAGTAGAACCAAATAAATATCTTTGCTTTTGGAAACACACATCGATTATTCACTGCTGTATAGAAAATGTTTTACTTTTAACTATTATACACAATTATCAAACTGCATCACGATGCAAGCTCTAACATGGAATCCTGAAGGAAAAAAAGGATAAAGGAAGACGAAGGAACACAGTGCGCCGGAACTTGAAAGCAGATATGAAGAGGATGAATAACAAAAAGGTAGAACTGGAAAAGATTGTTCAGGACAGAGTTCACCGGAGGATGCTAGTAGTCGGCCTATGCTCCTCCACGAGGCGTAAAAGGCGTAAATACGTAAGTAAGTAATTACTATACACATATAAATATTAAAATTTACCTTTAATTGATGTTCTTCAATAAATTCATTGATTAATTGGGATATATTAGTTGGTATGCCTGAATCAGAAATCCATGGAAATTGCATATCTTCTTTAATTGTACTGGGTTCAATACGAAGATTCATTGTTAAAATATCAGTTATTTGTGTCTTTAATAACAGAAGCAAAAAATGAAGTGGTAGTTAACAGTGAAGTCTGATATGTGCGTTCGATTCTGTATGAGGTTGGTCAAATGGGAATAACTGCCTTCGAGGGTTGATTAGTACACTAAGGTCGTCTCATAGTCCTCATCACCTCAAACATCAAAGTTTCACTTAATAAGCTATTGGGCCACTAGATTCTATAACACAGCTGTTGATGAAGTGCTAGCTATAGGTTTAATGTATAGGATTATCTGTCTATTTTGCGATTTATTAGTACTGTAGTGATCGAGAACATCAGTGGGGACAACCAAAGGTATCTTAATACAATATTACAGAATATCTTGATAAAATGCTTAATTTGGTAGGATGTCTATATTTTTAATCACTCAGTTGGGGTACCACTGAGAACAGGAGGGCAAAGAATGCCTGTTTCGTCTTAGTATAGGACACCTCAGCAGTGAGAAACCACAACTCAAAAAGGGATCAAGTCCATGATCTTCAGTCCTAGCGACAAACACTTAATCATGAAAACTGCTGGCTCATTGATCAGTGGTAAAATATCAACCTTAAACATATACCAGGCTGTGATGAATACAGTCTGTAAATAAACAAAATTTACTCGCAGAAATCAAAAGGCAAGAGTAATAACACATAGCTGTACCCAATATACATTTGACTTGTCTCTACACCGTCATCCCCACTTGATTTTAACAAACGAAGTAAATGGACAAGTAATTGCATAAAATGGAATCATTAACACGACAAATAACTGTGAAAAGATACATAGCATAACCTGATGGATTTTACTTGCATGATAGGAATACGCCGATAGAAGCTGATCCGGATCAATTAGCCGTTATTATAGGAGATCATGTTATAAACAGTGATTGCTTTTTAAATTACATTTTCCAACTAATAACAAAATCACTTATACTGATGATAATTGACGTCTGAGTTGATCTATTGAGGGTTTATTGAATAAGATAAAAATCACTTAGTTGATCAGATAAGTTTTTAAATAATATAGAAAAGTATATAAAGTATGTGTAGGATTATTTGACTACCTCTTTGCATACTAACCGGTATTTCCTTTGATTTCATTTCTTCTTCGTTGTATATTCTTGTAACGCCATTGGATAATCCCGATGAGATAGCCTACAACAGGAGTATAACAAACTATAATTATATATATATACTACGGGATGAGGTTACTGACTCCATGCCCAACCCTCCTTCTTTTGTAGACTTGACACCGGCAGTAACTCTAGAAGAGTTACAGGTGGATTTATATGCTTGAGTTCGATTAAATCAAACTACTTGAAAAATGAAATAAAGTGTGTTTACTTGTTTATCAAATTTTTATCTACGTAGAACTAGAAATAAACGACCTCTGATGGAGGTTTGTTCTCTGAGCTAGATGGTTTGGTCGTGGAGCTTTCATCGTTCTTCTGAACGATATCATCAGCACAAACTTCGGGTAGAAGTGAGCTACAAATTTTTTCCACAATCTCATTTGGCTGGTAAATTTTCAGCACCACGTGTCAGTGACAGAATAATATGAGAAATTGATTGATATAGCCAGAAAATAAAATAGGTTTCATAGTTTCAATTGATATCATGAATCGATCAATATTAGACTACTAGTGAAAATCTGAAAGCACTGGACAACCGTTTTGTACTAGTATGCGACTCGTGGTATTCGAATACAGGACGTTCGGTTTCGCACGCAAACGCTTAACTTCTAGACCACTAAGTTTTAATTTGATAATATTGTTAACAACTTCCCCAGTTTATATCAATTCATGATAAGGAACAAATTTAGAATGATTAATTTGAATTTTTCAATCTAAGTGTAGCTGAGGTTACTTGTAGCTTTCTAAGCGTCCAACAAGTCTGTTCAAATCAACACTTTCAGATAATTCTCCCCTCATCTAGTAGATGGGTGCTGCATATTATAATGCAATTCATATTAGAGGCTTAATTTTAAGCCCCAACTTATAATATATTCGTTTTTTACATCTGGAATGTTGGGCTAGTTTATGTTGGCATGTTCTTAGCAAACTGTCGTGGATAACTCAAGACATAATGGAAATAAAGTCTTTAGTGAAAATTATAATTTAGTATGCAGCAGTTATCCACTAAACGGACGGCTAAATGATCGAAAGTGCTGAGTACGACACACTTCTAGAGTATTAGAAATGTTGTGAATAAATTCACCTGCTTCGACTAATTATATTTTTGTACTAATTAGGACTATGCTTGTCTAAAGAGGTTTCAAATGAATGGAGCATTGGGTAGAGTGTTAAGAATAAATACATTTTTCTATTATATCTCAATGAGCAGAAAAACTGTATTTCTGACGATGTTTTGTGACTTAATGTAAGCCACTTCTTCAGACATGGCCCACAATCGATCACAATGGCGTAGGTGTGTATACACTCTTTATCTTCCCTTAAACCTTGAGATTAAAATTGCTTCATAACTTTCTTCCTTCCTATACTATATCCTTATATACAACCTCTTATATATTACCACCATTAAATTAACTACTTCTATGAATCCGGTGTTTATCTTGTTGTGCTAATGAGGTATGGGAACTTGGAACGATGCATATATGTGCTTGGTCCTACGTTGTAGATGACTGACTTCTTCAGAGTAAATAAATAATTTGTGTTAATTTAATTTGAAGTTTTTCTACTCATTGGGATATAACAAAAGCAAAACATTCACTACAAACTACTATTTGTTTAGTGAATATCAAATTTTAACTGAATGTTGTAATGTGCCATAATACATGAAAGTAATCCAACATCTATTTTATCCTTGTTAGACATTAATCATCATCAACTACAAGGTTTTCATTTATCCATAGTGAACATAATACATTTCCCGTTACTGACATGACATTTTATATAGTTAAGATCATGAGTCAATTGAAGCTAGATCACCATGGAAAACGTGAAAGCACTGAACGGCCGTTTCATCCTATTGTGGGACTCCTCAGTAGTGCACATCAACGATCCCGCATCACGGGATTCGAACCCATGATTTTAACTATATAAAATTGCTGAAATCTCCACAAAACCCCCTTGTGATAATGATCATATGCTCACTAGTGACTGGCTCCATGAGGTAATTCCTGGAGTTCTAGTGAGAAGTCGTGGTCAGTGGAGTTAATCCATGTCAGGTAGAGACAGGTATCTACCTTAGTACGATAGAAGTTGGTTGCGCAATTGGTTGAGGTTAGATATTAATACCGCTGGATGCCGGCTCAGTGGTCTATAGGTTAAGCGCTCTGGAGTGAAACTGGTAGGTCCTGTGTTCGAATACCGCGAGGCAGGATCGTGGATGCGCACTGCTGAGAAGTCTCAAACTGGGGCGAAACAGCCGTCCAGTGCTTCCAGGTTTTCCACAGTGGTCTAGCTTCCATGGCAAAGAATCCATAAATGGCTCTGTTTTTAGAGTTATATGCATGACTGGTAACTCAATTAAATCTATCTCCTTCACATGTCTGAAAATTAGTAAGGTTATAAATAACATCAAGGTTTCGAAAGTTCACGGAGCAGACGGTATTTCGTCATTTCTCTGCAAATATGGTGGTCCATATATTCCACTTCTTCTCCTTAAGCTGTTTACTCTCTCTATGGAATCAGGCTCTTATCCTGACTGTTGGAAAACCGCGTACATCATACCACGTTACAAATCCGGAGATAAGACTGACATGAACAACTATCGGCCAATAAATATTACTCCAGTTATCTCTAGGATTATGGAAAAAATTATTAGTGACGAACTATCCAACTATTTATTGACTGAACAATTTATTGATGATTCGCAACATGGATTTCTTAAAAATCGATCTTGTATGACATGTCATTTTGACTTCTTTAATTTAGTCTATTCGCTTCGTAGCCAAGGATATCTAGTATTAGTGCTATACTTGGACATTTCTAAGGCCTTCGACATGGTCAACCACCAACTTCTCATAGGTAAACTCGCATCTTATGGGGTCGAAAACCCGTTACTAGCCTAGTTTGATTCCTTCCTCAGCAATCGACATCAAATAGTTAAAATGAACTCTTCATTGTCGAATGCCGTCCCTGTTAAAAGTGGGGTAATTCAGGGTAGTGTCTTAGGTCCTTTGCTCTTTTTAGTTTTCATTAATGATATTTGTGAGTGTTTTATTGTGGGTAAGTCCCTTTTGTTTGCAGACGATCTTAAGGTGGTGTACTCATTTTCTCTACATGAGCTGAGCAATATTCAAAATTGTATCAGCTCGGAGCTTAACATGGTAGCACAGTGGTGCTCGAAATGGCAACTGGAGCTTAATACAGCTAAATGTGGTTGGTTATGCTTCGGTGATACATCACTCAACCTCGATCTTACCATAAATGGGGAAATGTTATCTAGGTTACACACAGTAGTAGATCTAGGACTTAGGTACTCCGACGACTTGTCGTTTACTGAACAGATAATGAAACAAACGTCCAAATCTCAACGCCTTATAGGTTACATAACTCGAAACCTTCATAACAGTGAATCTCGTATTTTAATGTACAAAGTGTGTGTTCGACCACTCCTCGAATACTGCGCGTTTCTCCTTAGTAGCACGCGCATAAAGGATAAATTAAGACTGGAATCAGTACAGAGACGATTCACACTTTGTACTCTTGGAACTGATAGTGTCTTGACTTATAGTTCGAGGTGTAGTAAACTAGGGCTTTATCCTTTATGGAAGAAGAGACTGAAACTTAACCTTATCTTCTTTTTCAAAATACTTAACAAACTCTCCTTCACATCCAGACAGACGATTCAATATGCTAAAGCCTCATATTACGACATTCGTAACTCCTTGTCTTTAGCGAAACAAACATATTCTAGATCTTCTCTATATATTAATTACTCTAACTGTAAGTTTTCTAGGCTCTGGAATAAGTTACCTCAAACTATCCGTATGTTAAACTCTCGCCCATTGTTTGTTCGCTCAATTAATACTTTTTGCTCCTCTGAAAATTCATTAAATGCTCTAGCGCCTGTAAGTGTATCTTACTCCACAAGTAAGATTATCGGAACTTTAAATGTTTAACCTCTTACTTGCTATTGTAGTGCCGCGATTCGTTAACCGTTTACTTCGATAACCGTTATAATTCTAAACTTAACGGTGCGTAAAATCAGAAGACAAAGGATAGCAGCAACTACAGTTTATTGTCGAATGACTCAGGTTCGAAAGCTAACAACACCTGAGCGAATATGAACGAGCGAGTGAACAGGCAAACAAGCGAAGGAAACGAACGAGGAGCAAGCGAGCGAGCGAGAGAGTAGCAAGCAATTACATAGGCAATTTATAGTCAAATTTAATAAGGGCACAGCAAAGCAAAACAAAGGCTGATAATAATATTTGTGTGCGTACATATATGGGGAGGAGTATGAGTCATCGAATGATATTTAAGCAGTCAACATTTCGGCTAGAGTGTCATGTGCTCTAGTGGTATAGCAGTGCAAAGAATATGCAAATTGTTACTATCCTAATGACAATGTCTGTTAAGTAAGTTATAAAAAAGGGCTTAACCAAAATTGGCTATAATCGAAATTGATTGTAGGATGGTTGCTATATTACTCCCCCCTGCAAACAAAGATATATGAAAAAATGTCTGTGTTTGCATAATGTACAGTAAATTGGATAGCGTAGTTACAATCATTTGAAGATATGGGCCTGTATAAAATTAGAATGAAGTTAGTGTGTATTTAGTTCGTGCCCGTCCGTTAGGCTATACAAAATAGCTGTAAGAAATAGAAGGGATATGGTATCGCTTCGAAAAAAAAACTACACGTATGAGCATAAGGGTGTACATAAGCTGTGCCAAGTTTAATAGCGTATAGCATGAATTTAATAATCCATATGTATACAATGAAGAGGAAGAATTATAATTAATGATCAAAGTAGCAGAAAATTATCAGTAAAAGATTGTAGCGACATAACGTTGCGGCCATCTTACTCTGCGACCAGATTTTGTCGTTATCGGAGTCTCCTCGTTTTGGTGCGTTAGCGTCGTTGACTCCTGAGATTCGTGTCTCGTCGGTGTGATCGTCTTCGAGAGGCTTGTGCTTGTCGATTGAAAATCGCTATCGATGAAAGCTGGCTTCACACGATTGAT